TCATTACACTCTTTTCTCACAAAAAAAGTCAAAAAAACCAAAAAACCCTTCCCAAACCAAACATTTAAGCCCGGGCTCAAATAGCCAAAAAAACCAAAAAGCCAAAAAACCAACTCACTTCCCAAATGGAGGCTAAGTCATCTAAACTTTTTGATACATTAAAAAATTTTGTTTACTTTTAATTTGTTAACCCCCAAAGTCTTATTTTTTTAATTTTTTTAAAACTTATTTGAAGTGGTCAGTTAGCATCTCTACTGATACTAGGCATTTTACCTATTTAAACATTACTGTAAAGTATACATTTTATTTTCTCTATCAACTGTTTTATATTTTTACTTCAATCATACTCTTTATTTTAGTTATTTATCCAAATACTATTAATTTTATAGAATGTTACGCCAACAATAAAGATATAGGGAAATTATCTTAATAATTAAATACATTTTGCCTAGCCTTAAAGGTTAGTTACATGTAACTAGTGAATGTGAGTTAAGTTAAAATGTGTAATCATATGTCTAGTGCATTGGAGTTGAAAAAATAAAATCAAATTAGGCATTTTGACTAACAAACATTATATGTCTAGTGAGTTGGAGATGTTTCTTTTTATCATAAAAAATTAAAAGGAAATACTGTATTTTCATGAATACAATTTGAGTTTTTTAGGAATCTAATTGAGTCGTAAAGACAAACTTTCTATTTTATTTTATTTATTTTATAAGGATCTTGTGATAATGGATAAGAATAAGGACTGGGCTCCCTCCTATCACCTATTTGGATTGGCGGGAATTTTATTTACATTCAAAAAAATATTTAAGTAAATTTAATTTTTTAATATATTCTATTAAATTATTTAGGATTACAATTTATTTTCAGTACCTTCTATTTTTTTTTTCTCTAAATTATCCTTTTGAGATATACCCAAATAAAACAAATTCAAAAATTCAAATAACTTTGAAAAAAATCTTTGAAAAATATTTATTTTGTTCATGTACATATATGAAACACAACCAAGGACCTTGGCACCGGCCGAAGAGAATGGCAAAGGAGAAGGAGAGGGTGAACTTCGCGTTCAAACTTCTAGAACCGAACAAAGTGAATTTGTTTAGACTTCTAAAACTGAACAAATTCACTTTATTCAGCTATACACTATCGAATAAAGTGATTTGCATGGTTTTGAAAATCCGAACAACAATGACAAAAAAAATATTGAATATTCGCTTTTATGTAAAAAACACCCAGAAATCAATAATTATACTTTGATATTTATGTGAATATTTATTTCTTCTTTGATGGGTTACTTCAAAAAACTGTTTTGATTATTACTCTCATCCATTGTCTGATTTTGTTCAAATTTTATCCTATTTGCAAGTAACAATATAATAAAATAATGATATTGATGATAATGGTGAGTTTCGGTGGGATGGATTGGAGTTTTAGAATGAGAAAGAAAAAGAAGAGAAAATAATTGAAATTTAGGGAAGAAACTGAAGAAATTTGAATAGAAAGAATACGTATAATTGATTAGGGTATACCATGAGAAAAAATAATATTTTATTTTAAGGTTTAATAGGTGTTATCCTTATTAGTAAATTCACATTAGGGTATAATAAAAATTAAAATTTTAAAATTTAAGTTGGGCATATTGAGATAATTTTTGAGTTCAAATAGAATGACCCTTGGATTGGAGAGTGTTGTTTGGGCATGTAGGGCCCATCACGGGTCCGATTTAGATGGTTTAAATCGTTCATTTTGTAGGATTTTACATGTATATCATCCATAAATAATGATCGATCCGATAATTTTAACCTATTCAATTTATTGCAACTGTCACCAAAAAAAAAAAAAGAATAGCCAATTTTTAAAACTATACATATCTTTTATTTGCTTAGACACGCATATTATAAATTGAATTGGGTTATGATTATCGGATCAACCTATTTTTTTATATCATCAAAACTAGATCCATGATGGCCCCAAAGACTCAGACAACTCCCTCCTGTCCAAATAAGTGATGGGAGGGGAGCCCAATCCAAAAAATAAAAGAGATTTGACTGAAAAGTTCTATTAAGAAGGTGGGTGTACCTATAAGTCTTATTTTTATTTTTTTTGGCGGCGTTTTCATAAAAGTGTTACTAATTGTTAGTTTGTAATGACAGTTAAAAAATTCATTACAGAAAACGTCACTAATCATCATTTTTTGCGACAAATTTAAAAGTGTTACTAATTGTTAGCTTTTAAAGAGAGTTAAAAAATTCGTTATAAAAAAAGTTATTAATTATCAATTTTTTTATACAAATTTAAAAAATTATCACAAAAAAACGTCACTAACACTTGGAAGACTTTTCGATCTGCACAAATTCTTGTGGGACTTAATAGTACACAGGCTTTTATACACGAAGAACCTATCAAAATAAATGATTTATATCATGAAAAACTAAACATTGATGAGCCCCACGGATCCCAATAGCTCCCACCCGTCCAAATGAGTGATGAGAGGGGAGTTCAATTCAAAAAATAAGGGGGAACTAATTAAAATGTCCTAATAGGAAAATAAGTACAATAATAAGTCTTTTTAATTTTTTGTTATATCAAAAAGTCCTATTCACTTTTAATTGTTATCATAAAAAAAAAATTAATAATTTTTTTAGCAATGTTTTCATAAAAAAATGTCATTAATTATTAATTTTGAGTGACAATTGAAAAATATCACTAATTATTATTTTTAGGATAGATTTAGAAAATCATCACATAAAAATATTGTTAAATAATTATCCTAAAAATTGAATTACGCAACAATCTCAAAATAAAAGAGAAGTTACCATTCTACACATAGTGGCCAACGGAGGCAAAGATTAACTTTTGCGGTGCCATCACGGCATCCGCGGGCCTAGGTCCCGAAATAATCGGTTGCGGGCCTGATTTAACCCAACCCAAAAGAAGGGACCTACCACCGAAATATCAGTGGAGCTCATCAACCACCCCTGACAAGGTCAATGTTCGATCAGAGCACAACGCGAGATCTCAGAAAAGAGCCATTGGAAAATTGAACATTTCACGTCTCCCAGAAGTTGAACTTGACTCATGACTGTGAAAAGGCAATGTCTTCACGATTGGGCCACCAACCCCGGTGGTGGAAATTAAAATTATTTGATTGGATGTTTTTTACAATATATTATTTTACAATGCATGATGTAAAACTTTACATATAATTTAAAAAAAAAAAAAAACTAATATTCTAAAATTGCAAAAATTCTTAGGTGTGGATACAGGTAGGCATGTAATGTCATGGGGTATTTTTCACTAACAACAGATATTATATATATATATATATATATATATTTTTTTTTCTTTTCATGTACTAATATAAATAAAATAGTTCTATGCAAAGGAAAAACTTATACACAATTTTGAAATTAGAATTATGTGACAGTCTTAGGTTTTCTCATTTTAAAATTAAAAAATTCAAAAGAATGGCTCTTATTTTTAAGAATTCCATTTCTGCATCATTTCAAGATAAATTGTGTATACAAATTTTATTTATAAATCATGTTCCATATTGTTACGTTTTTCATAATTGGTAATTCCGTTGGACAAAACCACCGCTCAATTGTAATTGTTTTTGTTTTATTTGTTTTGTAAGGTTATGAGAGTTTAAATGCAAATCCGATCTGTCTTGTGCATGAGTAAAAGAGTTTATATTGACATTCCGTATCTTCACTTGAGCAATCCTTGTTTGCCTCTTCACTGACTAAGTATGAAAGCAGTTTTTCGTGTGCTCGAACGATGAAGTGGTTCATCCAATATCTCTGCCTATGTTCTAAACTTCTGAGAAGCATGTTTTACTACTCGAGTGGTAAATGTTGCGCTCGAACAGTTAGCCTATATGTCATTACCGCCTTTAGTCTCACTATCTAAAATCAATCACAAAGAAGAAAGCAAAAATGCTATGTACCATGAATTTTTACACTAAAATTTACTGTGAAAGTGAAGTGTAGGATATAAATTTAAAGTTAAATAGTGTTTATAACTCAATTCAACATATAAAATTGAATGTAATAAATACAAATCAATTAAGCCGATTTCATAACCAAAATTAGTATCACATAAAATTTAACTAATTCAAATAATGTAGAATAAAAATTGAAAAATAAAATAAAAAAGTTGTAAAACTTATTTAAAAGATATGACCTCACTATCGTCATTGTTGCCAAAACCATAATCCTGTCCCCAACATGAATACTACCCCCATTATGTCCACTCCCACTTCCACCTTCATGCCATCACCACTACCATTGATATCATCATCATAACTGCTACTTTCATTTCTCTATCACCACCAACACAGTCCCCGTTGTTGCCACCACTATTACTGCCACCCTTCATTTCAACCAACATCATTCCACCACCACCATTACTACACCACCATTGCGACCACCACCACTACATCACCATCGCCATCTCTCCACCATCACTGTCACCACAATTACTACCATTGTCATTAACATCATAGTCGCCACCATTGTCACTATTGTTGCCACCATCAACATCTCAATAATATAAAATTGGTAGAGAAAATTATCTTATACATATCACCTAACTCGTTTTAGCTCAATAATGTAAATTTTATCCAATAAATTTTTAACTTAAAAAATTTAATGTTTAATTCTCAATAATTAAGTTTCATTTTTAAATTTTCAGTTTTATCAAATACACCTTAGTAGGGTAATAGAAGTAGTCTCTTCATTTTCAATTTTGAATAATTTTTTAAGAAAATTTTCTAAACGTATTGTGGTTGAGAAGAAAGGATACCACATAATATCCGATAAGTGGTCCTATAATTGAAATCACATGTACAACAATTTGCTTAAATGAAATTCTTGACAACTTCATTGTTCATGGCATTGTATGAAGAGAAAAGTTAAGGATCATGAAATTTTTTTCTTAAAAATAATCATAAACTATTTGTGATCCTTGAATTATCTTGATTAGTGTGTGATGCTTTATTCTAAGTATAATCCAAGGGTCACAAAGCTTTCATGATTATTTTCATGAAAGATTTTTCATAATACCTAACATTGTTATTGTATAAATCATAGCTCCCAGTTCCCACTAGTGTTCACCAAAACACTCAACCAGGTAGTGCTTTGCTTGCCCTAGTTCAAACTATCCCCAATGGCCCTAGACACAGTCTTCCTGCTTCGTGAGCTCTCTTTTGCAACTCTCGTCATCCTCATCACTCACATTTTCATGCGCTCCATCCTCACTAAACCCCTCCGTATGCTCCCCCCCGGCCCAACAGGGTTGCCACTCATTGGTGCCATTCCCCACCTAGGTTCCATGCCACATGTTGCTCTAGCTAAAATGGCTAAAATATACGGACCCATAGTCTACCTCAAAATGGGCACTTGTGGGATGGTGGTTGCATCGACTCCAGACTCAGCTCGAGCCTTTCTCAAAACCCTAGACTTGAATTTCTCAAACCGCCCACCTAATGCCGGTGCAACCCACTTAGCCTACGGTGCTCAGGACATGGTTTTTGCAGATTATGGACCTAGATGGAAGTTACTGAGGAAACTAAGTAACTTGCACATGCTTGGTGGCAAGGCTCTTGAGAATTGGGCTCAGGTCCGATCCTCTGAGCTTGGTCACATGTTAAAAGCTATGTACGATTTGAGTTGTCGCCGTGAGCCAGTGGTGGTAGCGGAGATGTTGTGTTATGCAATGGCAAATATGATCGGACAAGTGATACTTAGCCGACGAGTGTTTGAAACGAAGGGATCGGAGTCAAATGAGTTCAAGGACATGGTGGTGGAGCTCATGACCACCGCAGGCTATTTTAACATTGGAGATTTCATACCATCGATTGCGTGGATGGACTTGCAGGGAATAGAGCGTGGGATGAAGAGGTTGCACAAGAAGTTTGATGTGTTGATAACAAAGATGATAGAGGAACACAAGGCTTCGGCTTATCAGCGCAAGGAAACGCCAGATTTTCTTGATGTTTTCATGGATTCAACATATAAAATTGAATGTAATTGAAGAGAAGCTCAACACGACCAACATCAAGGCACTACTCTTGGTATATGCCTCTTTAGCTCTCCTTCAATTCAACACACACTTATATAGTTATGGATATCTATATATTAATATTATAATGCTGGCTCAAGACTTTTCGTACCTTCGACGAATTTTTAAAAGGTTCTTTTTATATTTTAAAAATATTAATTATTTTTTCATAGATAATTATTATTTGAAATTTATTTTTTTCTTCTTGTTAATAAAAATTTAATTTGGATCAAATCGATAAGGGTGATTCGATAGGAAAAATTAATGTTCACAAATAGCAAATTAATCAGGCAATGTGGTTGGTGTCCTATGTTGTAACATATTTAAAGATTTCTTTAGAGGTTGTAATGTGAAGAAATAAGTACAAACAAACTGAAAATTTGATTAATAACACCTAAACTTGTCACTTAATTATAAGAATTAAATTACAAATTTCATAACATTATAATCAATAGGTCCAAATTAAATTACAGACCCTGAATTACTGATAATCTAGTGTTAAGTACAAGAGCTACTCGTGGATCCACCACAGGCTTAGAGGAGTACTTTAATGACCTAAACGAAGGGGCCGCACTTACATTATCATGGAAAAAACCTCTCTGTGCACCTTAAAAAAGTCGTATATAATATACACTTTATACATAATTTTATGGGTATATTATGTATGAAAATTTAAATTGATTTGATATTCATAATTTTTTTATTGTATTGTGTTTGTGTCCAAAAATTAGATGATTTATTTTTTAAAAATATTATTATCGTCTATTTTTTTCAAAACAAAATGAAAATATTACTATAATGGGAATGACTAAATTTTTTTCATTAATAATATACACTGAGGATCCTACTAAATGAACAACTCGAATGTTAAAACGGAACTCATGATATGTTCCATGTGCCCTTCAAATTTCCTCAAATTTATATGAATTTTAATAAAAAAGATTAATACAAAACGCATCAAAGTAATACTAAACGATGTTAATTAGATTGACACTTAAAAAATAAAAAAATAAAAAAAAAGCTAGTAAGTTACTAACTAGAAAACCAAATACAAAAATTAGAAGATTTATTTTTAAAAATATTATTATCATCAAATTTTTTTAAAAAAACAAAATGAAAATATTACGACTATCGGAATGATTAAATTTTTTTTCATTGATGATCCTACTAAATGAACTACTCGAATTATTCAAACGGAATTCATGATATGTTCCATGTGCCCTTCAAATTTTCTCAAATTTATATGAATTTTAATAAAAACACATCAAAGTAATATTAAACGATGTTAATTAGATTGACACTAAAAAAAAAAAAAAACAAAAAAAAACTAATCATCTTGTAGCACTAAACCCTATGAAGCACGTATACTTCAAATAGAGTGACATATTCGTATCGTATCCGTATCGGATACCGATACTCTTTTTTTTTTTTTTTGATCGGCAAAGAAAATCTTTACCAATACTCCTTGCATACTCACGGACACGTATCGGATACTTATTAAAAGTATAAGATATTTCTTAATTATTTTTTCATTAATTTTGGAGTATACGATACTTAATTTTGAAGTATCAGATACTCCAAGTCATGTTTACTTGTTTTTTGAAATTAGAATTGTAACATTTCTTGCATAGTAATATAATATATTATAATATAATTGCAATTATAAATATAAGAATATTTTTCTAATGCTTTGTTAAAGTCTTCGATAAGAAGAGCATAGTAAGTTAAATAATAGAATTTATCAAATTGATATATCTTAATTATTTCATGCATATCCCCTATAACTACATAGAAAGGAAGAATTAACAAGAGAATATAATAATGGTAAAATTAAATATCAATAAATAAATAAGCAAGTAAACTTGAATATAATATTTTTCACTAGTGTCAAAGGAAAAAATATAAGGACAAGTTGTGAATTTTTCTATTCTTATAATATAAATATATTAAACTTGATATTGAAATGAAATATTTGCAAGATTTATTAAAAATTTAAAAGTAAATAAGCTACTAACTTAAATTAATACAAAATTCTTAAAGGTTTGTATTTTACATTATAAAATTATATTGTGATTTCTCAACGTTGTTTAGCTTATGTGTAACTCACTATTAATAATTTTAAAAAATATATTTTTCACAAACGTATCATTACCGTACCGGTATCTTATTTTTTAAATTTTATCGTATTATCGTATTTGTATCGTATCATATTCATATCTCGTGTCTATATCTATGCTTCGTAGACTCAACCAAAGCTAGTAAGTTTCTAAGTAGAAAACCAAATACAAATCACAGATCACTATCTAACACAACTCCATTCACCACACATATCTTCACCTGAGAAGCAAAGACCATGAAACCACTAAGCAAACCTTGACAACAGTAGCCTTTAATGAGCCCAAAAGCTCATTGGATAACAACCTTAGCATCCATACACGATAACTAACAATTATTATTATTATTTTTTTTTTTTTTGTAAATTATAAATATATCCTTTGAGATTTATTTATATTATAGAATACTTCTATAGTTTGAAAAATTATAAATGTCCCTTTGCTAGAATATTTAGAATTAACTGAAAAAATAAAATTTTTAATTGTTCTCCTATACAATGATAAAATTACCTGAATTATTAATTGAAATAAGTTTTTAACGTTATTAAAAGCTGTTAATATTTACTTGATGATTTATTAATAAAATGTTCATTTGTTATGAAATTAAAAATTTTGAGGAGCAGGATGTAATTTATAGAATCACAGAAGACAAATCATATTTTAAACAAATCTCAGGAGATGTATTGTAATTTTACCCTTATTTTTTTGACCAAACGTCCTTTGTCTCTAAATCATTCTCTTCTTACCTCAAAAAAAACTCACAAATTATTGAATCATGTAACAATTTTGTAGTGTGAAAATCTGGAGAAGTAAAATTAAAAAAAAAATTAAAAATACACCATCTATTTATTTTTCTATCTCCTAGTGTAAATTTCCATGATTTTGACTATTTTTACATTTTTCCTCGTTCATCGTTTGGCTAGAACTTATTCACTGCTGGCACCGACACATCATCAAGCATAATAGAGTGGGCGCTAGCCGAAATGTTGAAAGACCCAAAAATCCTCAACCGAGCACACGACGAGATGGATCGGGTCATCGGTCGAAACCGACGGCTACAAGAATCCGACCTACCCAAACTCCCATACTTACAAGCCATTTGCAAAGAAACATTTCGAATGCACCCTTCAACTCCTCTCAATCTTCCCAGAGTCTCTGCCCAAGCTTGCCGAGTGAATGGTTATTACATTCCAAAAAACACTAGACTCAGTGTCAACATTTGGGCCATAGGCCGAGACCCTGATGTGTGGGAAAGGCCATTAGAGTTCATTCCTGATAGATTTTTGAGTGGAAAGAATGCAAAGACTGATCCGCGTGGGAACGATTTTGAGCTGATTCCATTTGGAGCTGGAAGGAGGATCTGTGCCGGTACTAGAATGGGGATTGTGCTTGTTGAGTACATTTTGGGCTCTTTGGTTCACTCTTTTGATTGGAAATTGGCTGATGATGGAGTTGAGCTGAACATGGATGAGAGTTTCGGACTCGCTCTGCAGAAGGCTGTGCCTCTTTCGGCTATGGTGTCTCCTAGGTTGCCTCCAAATGCTTATGCTGGTTAAGCCCTACATAGCTTAAGATCATATATGAATAAAGATGATTTGCTTTGTGCCTTTTTGTTTTTGGTGGAATTGCACATGGGGAGCAAAAATAAAAATAATTATAAAATTATGGACGTGCAAATGGGTCTGTGCTCTAGAGCATAACTCTCGTTACACTTTCATATTCTTGTAATTATTTTTATGCTTTCCACTAATTGTAATTCTTCATTATTTCTCTTTTGATGTGTCTCTACGTACATTTTGAGGATACACCCTACACTATGTATCCGATTGTTGTGGTGTGTTTGTTGGGATTTTGGATGCAGGTATCAAAATAAAATGCTTGAAAAAACATGGTGTAGCCCCACATCGGTGTTGGATTTTGTGAATTAATTTTATGTTCTTTCACTTTTTTAGTCTTTTTCATATGATCTTTATATTTGTTTTTAGCAAATCTCATATTTTAGGTAATTTTATTTTTTTCACAACTAAACTTCTCTCTAAAAAATATAATTTTTTTTTTTTTTTATCAATCAAAAACTTTATTGATAAAATAAAAAGACCAAGCAAATTACATTAATAAAGAGGAGAAAACAAGAAAGGCATCAAAGCTAAAGAAAGGGTCGGTGAGACACCAATTCAAAAACAAAGAGATCCAAGTAAAGAAGCATAAAAAACGAACTCCCAACCACCCCAAGAACCCACACCAAAAGCCAAAGAAAACAGTTACAAACACTAGTGAGATTTAGGCAACAAGCCTAATCTGTTGAATATTACAAATAATCTGTTGAATATTAGCTTTTTGACCCAAATGACAATCCTTGTCTTGATTAATTCACAAAGCTCCTCTCAATGCATCTGTCTCCCACGGAACACCTCATTCCTGAACTTCCATAAAGGCCATGTTAATCGTAGCATGAATAATAGCATGAATAATTTTTGATTTTGATTATTTTGTTTTGATTTATATTTTGATTTAATAGAAGAGTTAATTTGTTTAAAATCTTATAATTAAGGGAGAATTACACTAATAATCATTATAGTTTGGAACTCGTGTCACTTCGGTCCCTAACTTTTCAATTGTGACACATTAGACCTTGAATTTTAAATCTGTTTCAAATAAGGACAATTGAACATACCATTGATCAATTTCAAGGGTAAAATCGTCCATTTGATAAAATATAAACTAATTTGACAAAAATAAATGTCATAAAGATAGTTTTGAATTTTAAAAAATTATTTCTATTCACCAAAGATAAAATTATGTAAAATTGATAAATTTTTTTACACATTTACTTATTTATTTATTTAACAAATTAATTTTTATTATATGTTTGGATGATGATCATGTAATGGGTGGTTGTTTTTATTTTCATTAAATTAGTTTCTATTTTTTCAAAAGTCAAATATGGTGACAACTATGATATCATTATTAAATCAAAAAATTCAAAACTAAAAACATTTCATATATTAAATATATCGATTATACATTAAAAGTCTAACAACCACCAATTACATGATTATCATCCAAATACATAATAAAAAATAATTTGGTAAAATAAATAAATAAATAAATGTGTCAAAGATTTATCAATTTTATATCATTTTATCTTTGGTGGGTAGAAATAATTTTTAAAGATTCAAAAATATTTTCTTAACATTTATTTTTGTCAAATTCGTTTATATTTTATTAAATTGACAATTTTGCCCTTAAAATTGAGCAATGGTATCTTCAATTGTCCTTATTTGGAACAAGATTCAAAATTCATGATCAAATGTGTCATAATTAAAAAGTCAGAAACTAAAGTGGCACAACCCCCAAACTATAGGGACTGTCAGTGTAATTCGCCCTATAATTAATTTAACATCATAATTCATCCTCAGTTTGTCGTATTTATGTTTATTAGAGGCTAAAATTTCAGCTCAAACATGTAAGAATCAAGTAGCAAACAACAGCAGCAGCAAAAGCATTGTTTTGATGGATTATAATTGAAAACTTATTGTTTGATTAATTCATTATAATCTATGATTCTCTTAGTGTTTAACTATGTTTTTGAAGGCCAAAAAGAAGTTTAAATAAGTGTTAAAAAGGTCTCATAACACTAACAAACAGCAGCAGCAACAAACAACAGCCTCAAACAGAAGCAACAAAAACAAAGGAGGCTGAATTTACACTGGGTGGATGCCCGGGATGACGACTGGCTAGGCCAAAATCAGCCCAGTTTAGCCCATTTCAGTTCTGTTCTCCCCGGTTGTCAAACCAGCAGTATGCTCGTTGACCTTGGCAATTATCCTTGACAATGACCGAACATCCGAGAGGACGTTCGGGTAGATGACCACTAAGAACAAAACTCCACCAAGGATATTCGAGAGGATGACCACCTGCTGAATCAGTTCTACAATGGCTATTTTTCAAAGTCTAACTTCACAATGGCTAGCTGATTCACACCCATCTTCCAACGAGCAAAACTCACACAGGCTAGAGACAAAGGCTGACATTGATGATATGTATATCATCTTATCTCCTCAATGGGAAGAAGAAGATGGGCTTGGCAGACAGAATAGAGCACTGAGGTCTGCTATATATATAGAGCTCTGCTATGAAGAGTAAAGGCAGAGAAGTGAACAACGAACCAAGATATTTTTTTATCATTCATCAATCACATATTTCATATTCTTTGAGTTATCTGAAGAAGTCTTCATATGTGTTTCATTCATCCTTCAGAAAACAAATATTGAGCCTAAGCCTTAAGCCTATTTGCCTATGAGAGGTTATCAGAAAAATCAGAGAGACTTGAGCCAAGAAAATTTCTTTGAATCAATCATCAGTCTCAAACTCATCCTAAGAGTTATCTGAGGTGTTCTCCATTCTTGTTTAATTCTTTCTCCTTCATAATTAGTAATTGAGCCTCATAGCTTTAAGCTCATTTACCTGCGAGAGGTTTACTGATTTATCTTATGAACTTCAACATTGTATATCTATCTGTGAGAGATATTTTTGTAGTTTTCTTTGAAAGAAAAAACACTCAATTCCAATATTGTAAAAGGTCACTTGCAAGCCTGTATAGCTAGGAAAAATCCGTGAAGGATTGCTCTATGTGTATGAGGTATTTATTATCCACGTGAAGCTAGAAAATCTGTGGAGAATTGCTACATGTTTATAATGTTGCTATCACCCTTATGAAGCTAGAAGATAGTGAAAAATCCCAAGTGAAACTTAATAAGTGGATGTAGGCTTGGTTGAAGCCAAAAACCACTGTAAATTTGTTTGTCTCCTCTTCCCTAATCTCTTTACTTTCCTACTAGTGTTATAGCTCTCTGATATTCATGTGTTAATCCTTTGATTTACTCTCTATGTTAACTATACTTCATTGTTATTTTGTTTGATCATTTATTACTAAGTTCATCATTGTGCTTGTTAATAATTTGTTGTGCTAGTAGTTAATTTTATTGGGGTATTATTAATTTTAATTTGTAGAAACCTAATTCACCCCCTCTTAGGTTGCTTTTTGAATAACAGATCACAACACCGCAAAAGGTATGGTTCTCTAGATCTTATTCAAATAATTTCTCTACTTGAAGCCCCACTACTAATTAAGAAGACCCTTTACTATTTGTGGGATTACCCAGGTCAATACCCACCACTGTATTAGATTCGACCAAACTCTCCAAGTAAACGGACACTAGATGAGTAAATGAGAGACAAATTTGAACTCATAATTACAGAATACATAGAGAGCATAGGCAGTTGGCCCTAGCACTCCAATCCTTTGTAAGAAAATAGATGTTTTTAGTCTCACTTTCCAGGCTAGCCAACCAAGAAATTGAACCTTTGGAGGAGATACATTATTCTATAGCAGCTTTGTAACCAAGAGATGAGGGGTAGAAACAGACAAAGAGTAAAGAGAGGAAATAGAAAACTCACTTGATGAAGATGCCATCCACCCAAGGCCATACTCTCTGTTTGAGAGGCCAACCATGTTCTGAAGTAATGGAGTAGTCAATCTGTTTAGTTCATCAGCCTCCCACCCTAGTAATCTTTTTTTAAACCTAAAGTTCCAACTAGTTAAGTCCTCATTCCTCTCAATCACCATTCTTAGAGACACTTCATTTTCTATTGATAAACTAAACAACCTAGGGAATTCATTTTTAACACACAAATCCCCCAACTAGTAGTCAGTCCATAAGTGAATTCTACTCCCATTACCCATAACTACTTGAGTATTTTCTAGAAAAATACTCAAAAGCTGAGGATTTGATTGACCTATGCTAAGGATTCCACCCCAGATTTTTGAGCAATTACTAGTAATAGTTGAAACTAGGAACCAATTCCCACCCACTGAAGAATACCTATTACACATTACTCTTTTCCACAAGGAGTGCGATTCAGCCCCGAACCTCTACAACTATTTAGCTAACAAACAATAATTAGCATCCTTAATTCTCTTAATACCCAAACCCCACTCTCTTTGGTTGCCTCTGACAAGCTAACCAAGTGGACCTTTTTCTTCAAGTCAGACCCTTCCCAAAGGAAATTTTCTTAAATCCTTTCAATTTCCTTAGCCACAAATATAGGCAACTTAAAGATAGATAAGTAATAAATGAGAAGACTGGATAGCACAGATTTTATAAGAGTGAATCTCCCACCAAAGGATAAGAATCTCCTCTTCCAAGAAGCTAATTTGGCTTTACACTTATCAATGACTGGTTTCTATGTTTTCTTTAACCGGGGACTAGGCCCCAAAGGTAATCCAAGATACGTCACTGGAAGCTTCTGACATCTACAGTTGAGTCTAGATGCGAACTCTTCCACCTCTACTTCAGACACTCTAATACCACACATGAAACTCTTGTGGAAATTAATCTTCAAACCTGAAACTGGTTCAAAACACCTCAAAATTCTTTTAACTACCATGACTCCTTGCAAGTTAGCTTCACAAAAAAATTATTGTATTGTAAAACTTGGAGATGTGAAACCTGCACTTCATCTTAACTTATCACGGCTCCCCTTACCTGCCCCAATGATCTGGCCCTTTGCATTAACATATTTAGATCTTTAGCTACCAAATTCAAAAGAAAGAGAGACAACGAATCACCTTGCCTACGGCCTTTTTCAAGAATGAACTCAGCTAAAGTGGAGCAATTCACTAAAATAGACACTCTGGCCGATGCTAAACATCCCTTGATCCAACCTCTCCACCTTGCCCTAAACCCAAATTCTTTCATCATAGACAACAAGCAATCCTAGCTTACAGAGTCATACGCCTTCTGGAAATAAAGCTTGAGTATCAATCCTTTTTTTTACTCCCCTTCCGCCAATCAACAATGTCATTAGCAATTAGAACACCATCCAGAATATTTCTACCCCCTAAAAAAGCTGATTGTGCCTCCGTAACCACTTTGGCCAT